AAAAAATGCTAGTAATGTCAATTGTCCTTGTTCCAATGTGTGCAGGACTTCCAATAAGAATTGCKCAGTTGGTAGAGTGCTGCCCAAGGCCCTGGTTTCAATCCCCACTACTACCTCAAAAAAAAAAAAAAAAGAATTGCTAATCAAAGAACCAGAATTTAGGAATTAATTAAGTTTGAATAATTTCCCTTGCTGTATCTCTTCTACTTTTGTGGTCCATACCCCACTAGCCTCCCTGGCTTAAGGGCTAGGTTAAAAACACCACCACCACCACCTTGTTAGCCACCTAAATTTTCCCACATCAGTTTGGTCACTTCATCAAATAGCGATGTACAAAGGTAGTAATATAATAGTTGACAAGAAATTGTAATCTTTTTTTTTCCCTCCTGTACTAGGGGGTTGAACCCAGGGCTTTGTGCATACTAGGCAAGTGTTATATCCATACTCCTTTTTAAAAACATTTTTGTCTTGAGACAGGATCTTGCTAAGTTCTCCAGGCTGGCCTTGAACTTGTTATCCTCTTGCCTGAGCCTCCCAAGTCTTGGTGCTGCAGGCATGCACTATGGCATCTGTGATCTGTCATTTTTGAGCATAGCAAATTCTCCTATAAAATAACATGATTTTAAATTACAGGTAGCACTCACCTGTAATCCTAGTGGTTCTGGAGGCCAAGACAGGAAAATTGTAAGTTCAAAGCCAGCTTTAGCAGAAGTGAGGTGCTAAGCAACTCAGTGAAACTCTGTCTCTAAATAAAATACAAAATAGGRCTGGGGATGTGGCTGCATCCAGTACCCCATCCCCCAAAATGAATTTGAAGTGCTGTGTGATTGAAATACTTGGTTGGGATTTATAGATTTAAGAACCTTCGGGCTGGAGATGTGGCTCAGCGGTAGCGCGCTCGCCTGGCATGCGTGCGGCCCGGGTTCGATCCCCAGCACCACATACCAACAAAGATGTTGTGTCCGCCGAGAACTGAAAAATAAATATTAAAAAAAAAAATTCTCTCTCTCTCTCTCTCTCTCTCTCTCTCTCTCTCTCTCCCTCCCTCTCCCTCTCCCTCTCCCTCTCCCCCCTCTCTCACTCTCTCTTTAAAAAAAAAAAAAAGAACCTTTATATACTATGATTTTTCTTTTTTTTTTTTTAAAGAGAGAGGGAGAAAGAGAGAATTTTTTAATATTTATTTTTTTAGTTTTCGGCGGACACAACATCTTTGTATGTGGTGCTGAGGATCGAACCCGGGGCCGCATGCGTGCCAGGCGAGCGCGCTACTGCTTGAACCACATCCCCAGCCCCACTACTATGATTTTTCTATGATATACATTTATTTTTTATCACCTTTGTGAGATTAGTTTTAGAAATTATTTTAGTGTGAGATACTTCTGTCTTCAGGTTTTTTGGTTAGAAAACTGTTAAAATTAGTTTAACTATTCTATAGAAAACTGATTATTGCCGGGCATGGTGGCATAAGCCTGTAATCCCAGCCCCTCAGGAGGCAGAGGCAGGAAGACAACAAATTCAATGCCAGCCTCAGCAACTCAGCAGGATCCTAAACAACTTAATGAGACCCTGTCTCAAAATAAAATATTAAACSGGCTGGGGACATTGCTCAATGGTACCCAGCATTCAATTCCCAGTAACCCCCTCCCCCCAAAAATAACCGTTTTGCTTCTAGTGTTTATCTGCCAGGTTCTCTTAGATTTAGTGTTCAATTATGTTGGTTATTGCTGTTACTGAGTAGTAATTGCTGTAAATCAGAGTTAATTTTGGTTTTTTTGATTATTAACTTTTAACATAATTGAAAAAAGCTGGATACAGTAGTATATGCCTATAATTCCTGCTGTTTGGGAGGCTGAGGCCAGCCTGGGCAACTTGAGGGAGACCCTGTCTCAAAATAAAATGTCAATTACTCGGGATATAACTCATTGGTAAGTACCCTTGAGTTCAATCCCTTGTACCACCAAAAAAAAAAAAAAAAACAAACAAAAAACCAATATTGATTGTAGTATTTTGTTTGTAATACAAAATTTGTTTTTGTTTTATGTTTGTRACTAAAAATGATTTGGAAGAAATAATTGAGGTATGGACTTTGTAAAGGGACATTAACATTGTTTTCATAGTAAATATTCTTTTGTCAAACTGATCCATATTTTAGGTGTAATCTATTTGAAAAATATGATAACACAGTATTGGCCTGATCGAGAAACAGTACCAGGGGATATATCCCCTTACACTATTCCAGAAGAAGATCGACACTGCATTCGAGAAAATATTGTAGAAGCCATCATTCACTCTCCTGAGCTTATCAGGTATGTAATTTTCAGGTTCTTTTGTTTGGTGGGGGGGGTATCTATTTAGAATACGCAAACCTACCTTTTTTTTTTTTAACTTTATTTATTTATATGTGGTGCTGAGGATCAAACCCAGGGCCTTTCACGTGCGAGGCGTGCGAGGCGAGCACTCTACCACTGAGCCATAACCCCAGCCTGCAAACCTGCAGTTTTTATAGCAGAAAACTTATCCAATAAATGATTTTATACGACAGTGTCTTTGATTAATTTTCTTACTACAGTTAAATTTTACATTCATAAAACTTGGAAAACATCCTGTTGTCAGATGAAATGGCCGGGTATGGTGGTGTATCCCTGTAATACCAGTGGCTTGGGAGGCTGAGGCAAGGAGGGTCCTGAGTTCAAAAGCCAGCCTCAACAACTTAGCCAGACCCTTTCTCTAAATAAAATACAAAAAAGAGCTGGCGATGTAATTTAGTGGTTGACTGTCCTTGGTTTAATTCCTTTATTTAAACAAATAAAAAACAACAAAACTGTGAAATGCTGTCATATACTATATGTATGTATGTATTTTGGTACTGGAGACTGAACTCAGGGGTCTTAACTATTGAGCCACGTCCCTAGCCCTTTTTATTTTTTTGAGACATAGTCTCACTATGTTGCTGAGGCTAGCCTCCAGATTGTGATCCTCCTGCCTCAGCCTCCCAAGTCACTGGGATTATWGGTGCGTCACCATACCCAGCTCATATACTTTATATTTTTAGTCTTTCAATATTTGAAAGCTCTTTTCTATTTATTATTTTATTGAGGTTCTGGAGTGAACCTAGGGCCTCCCACATGCTAAGCAGACACTCTATCATGGGCTATACCCGTTGAAAGCTCTTATATATTTATATTTTGCAAAATTTATAACAAGTGTGATTGTTCTTAAATGATACTAGTTTCAGGGATTTAAAAAAATCTGCACTCATAACAATTATTTAGTTTCTTTTAAGTTGGTAGGAATAGATAGGTTTTGCTGAATGACTTATTTTGAATTATTATTTTAAATTATTTGTATTGCATGTATATGCAAACATCAGGTAGATTATTTGAAATTAGGTATTGTCTGAATAACCCATTTTCCCTTTATGAGTCAGTGAAATTTTATCTTTTAGTATTTCTTCCTTCTTACTATATATATTTTTTACTTACAGGGTACAGCTCACTACATGYATTCATCACATCATCAAGCATGATTATCCAAGCCGCTGGACTGCCATTGTGGACAAGATTGGCTTTTATCTTCAATCTGATAACAGTGCTTGTTGGCTAGGAATTCTCCTTTGCCTTTATCAATTGGTGAAAAATTATGAGTAAGTGTCTTTCTCATGGAATTTCAAGAAGTAGGAAGAGTTTTGAAATTTCACATACCAATTTGAAAATGTAAAATTATATTTGACATAGTTCATGAAATTAATGAACTAAATGATAATTTTAATTTAGTTTTTTTTTTTTTTTAAATATTTTTTGTGGTAATAGGGCCTTGTAAATGCTAGGCAAGCACTCTGCCACTGAGTTAAATCCTAGCTGTATTTTATTCTTCTTTAAGGTAGAGTCTCGCTGAGTTGCCCAGGTTGGCCTCAAATTTGGGATCCTCCTGCCTCAACCTTCTGAGTAGCTGGGATGACAGTCTGTGCCTCCCAYACCTGGCTCCTTTTAAAGCTATGTGTATTGAGGGATTCATACTTAGCTATTTCACTGTTTGCATATTTAAGCATATTATAAATCATGTAAGGTAATTAGTATCAGAAATATTTCTGGTTAAGGAATCATTTTAGATATGGGTTTAGGAATCAGAAAAAAAAWCTAACCTTGTAAGTTAAGGTATAGCACTAATAGTGCTAAACGAAATGTTGAAGGGGCTTTCCTTTAAGCATATGGTAACAGTAGTAAAACTGGTAGGCAATTGAAAGTCTCGATGTTGAAAATTATGAGGAAGGCTTTTTAAATTCTATGATGGTGATTTTATTTCCAGTCCTAACAGCTACACAGATGCCTTTGTGATACCTCCAAATCTAGGAGTTGTAGTTAGCCTCCAATACCATTTTTTGTTCCCATTTCAAAGTAGCTGATAAACTGCTGCTGTTGTTCTGAGCAGTAGAGAAAATATACCATTTACAGCACTGGTGCTGGTGTTTTCTTGTGTTCCCACTAGCTGCCCATCTTCCTGCTAAGGAATGTTCCAGCTGTTGCTCCAACCTCTGTCAGAATGCCAGTTGTTGTAGTTCTGGTAAGTGAGTGACTAAAATCAGAGAGAATAACAATGATAAGCTGTCAGTGTCATTGAGGAGGCTCAGGTCTCTCCTGTCTTAAAATCTTAGCAGGAGGGAATTTGATAGGCATTTTCAAGTGGGAAATATAGGAGGCTGCTACAATACTAGAAGTCCAGGTTTTTTTTTAGGCAGTGTTTATGGAAYACAGGTATTCAGAAGGGATCTGTGTGGACTGATGCAGTTCTAAGAAAATTCATGGAGATACTTGAATTTGGTGGCCTTCAGGAACATAGATTCTCAGGAGTTGCTTGTCTGTTGAAGGAGCACAAAGAGSATTTGAGAGGAAGGCATGTCACACTGAAGTGAGTAGTATGAACAAAGAAAGATGCAAAGGTGGAAATGAGACACTGTATTAAATGGATAGAAAGGAAATCACTTAATAGTATGCATAGTTTCTTATGAAAGATTGGGAATAATAGTTTGGACTAGTAAATTGGGACCATATTAAATAAGGTTTTATATGACAAAAGAAAATATGGATGTGATTTTTTTTAATATTTATTTTTTAATTGTAGTTTGACACAACACCTTTATTATTTATTTATTTATTTTTATGTGGTGCTGAAGATTGAACCCAGGGACTTGCACGTGCTAGGCAGGTGATCTACCACTGAGCCAAAACCTCAGCCCTGGATGTGATCTTTTAGATACTGAGGAAGCATTGAATAGTTTATGAACAGAAAAGTGATAGTAGACTTGTATCAGTGTCACATTTTCACACTTTCAGGAATTTTCAGGCCTTGGAGGGAAATTATATGTTTGGCATTAAAATTTACTTTCTAGGGGCTGGGGCTGTCATTTAGTGGTACCGCACTTGCCTGGCATGTGTGAGGCATTGGGTTCGATTCTCAGCATCACATATAAATAAATGTAATAAAGATCTATCAACAACTAAAAAAATATTTTTTAAAAATTTGTTTTCTACTACCTCCCAACTTCTAGACCATTTAGCACAGTGAGGGGAGGTAGCAGAGAAGAAATTCTAACATGGCATGAGTATTCACAGTCATCTGGGATGGATAAGTGGAGAGTGCTGCATAGTATAGTTTTCTTTTATTAAAAGAAAATTTTGTCTATAGACATTTATAGTTTGTGTAGTCAGACTAGAGAGTGCAAATGGCTTTCTTTCATAAAATGTTGCTGTTTTATCTACTCAAAGGTATAGGTGATCCTTTTTAAATATATGCTGAGTATAATTTCTTAGGATATTAAAATAATGTCTAAAATGAGTTTTCAATTTTGTTAGTTTTTTAGTTGTAGATGGACACAGCATCCAACTTATTTATTTATTTATCTATCTATCTATCTATCTATCTATCTATGGTGCCGAGGATTGAATCCAGTGCCTCACAGGTGCTAGCCAAGTGCTCCACCACTGAGCTACAGCACTAGCCCTGAGTTATCAGTTTTGTAAATAGCCTTACCAAGCATTAATGTGAACCTTATTTTTGATGATACTGGGAATTGAACTCAGGGGAGCTTTAACACTGAGCTACATTCTCAGACACTACCACCCCCCAACCCCCTGCCCCATGCTTTCTTTCTCAGTTTCTAATCTTCCTGTGTCCGTCTGTCTCCTAGTTGTGGGGATCACTGAGATTACAGGCATGCACCCTGAGCCCGGATCTTTCTTTGTTAGCTTTCTGCCTGCCTTCCCTTCTTTGTTCCCTTCCTTCCCCTCTTTCTTGTCTTTCTTTACTCTCTGTCTCTTTCTCTCTGTTGGAGATCCAAATCCAGGGTCTCACACATGCAAGGCAAGCACTGTACCACTGAGTTRTATACATCCCAGTACTGAACTTTACTTTTTTTGTTTTTAAAGAGCCCCTCTTTTTTTTTTTTTTTAAGAGAGAGAGAGAAAGAGAGAGAGAATTTTTTAATGTTTATTTTTTAGTTATTGGTGGACACAACATCTTTGTTTGTGTGAGGATCGAACCCTGGTCGCATGCATGCCAGGCGAGCGCACTACTGCTTGAGCCACATTCCCAGCCCCAGTACTGAACATTTCTTTGAAAATTTATCTTGGTTCTCATGTCATCCAAATAGAAACAAAGAATATACATTATAAAAAGAATCTTCATTTACTTTTAAAAAATGTACTCAGATATTCAATTCTTTTTTGGTACTGGGTTTGAACTATATACACTCCCAGACTTTTTTTTTTTTTTTTTTGAGACAGGATCGACCACTAAATTTCTGAGACTAGCCTTGAACTTGATACTTGGGCCTCAGCTTCCCGAGTTACTGGGATTACAAGTGTGAGCCACTGAGCCTGGCTCAGATGTTTAATTTGTAAATAGATTTTCTCTGAGAGAAGAAGGGTACAAACAAATAAAACTGGGACCATTGATGAGAACTGTTTTAAAGCAATTTAAAATAATCATGTATTCCAAAAAGATAAGCTTTGGTTATTAATTCTATAACCAGTAATTTGTATTTTACAAATCTAGTTTCCCTGATGTCTCCATAGTAATAGAAACTGGAATTTCATTTCTATAATTTTAACCTATAAAATGATTATTTGATTTTTAAAAAATAATCTAACAGATCTTTTAAAAATTTTGTTAAAATGATAAGTAATATATACAGAAATGTTCCAAGTAGGTCAGCAATTGTTTACCCATAATCCCTAGAACAAAGTAGAATTCAGAATTTTTTGGATTTTAGAAAGGTAATAAGGTCATCATACTAGTTAAATAATACTGGTACACAGTAGCACCCAGTAGTCCAACATATTATATATCTGCTGAAAAAATATGTGAATATTGACCCCAAATGGGATAAATGAAGATTGTATATAGTTTGTTGAGTATTTTTTGTTGCCACATGGATGGTAGAACTTCTGGTTTAACAATGCTTTTTAGACATTTATTTTCTGTTTTGTACATGCCATTTCTGCCTTAATTTTGTTTGTAATGTGAATAACTTACTGATGGTAAAATTTAATTGGTTTTGTTTATTCATCAGCTACTACTGTATAAGTTAGTTTGTTGTAGCTCCTTATTTGTACCAGTATTCACACTTAGAGACTATATAGTGATTTGGATCTCATTTGGTTAGATTTATTTAACTTCAGGGACTCATTTTTCTCAGTTCTAAAAGGGAGAATACTAATGGGGGACTTGAATATTATTGACCTCATTATAAATGTTCAGTCTATATTAGATATTCTGTTTCTGAGGTTTTATTCAAGTTGCTTTTGTTTGTGGTTTTATTCCAGAATAGTTTTTTTTCTTTTTCTAGATGTATTAGAGAGCATTTACTTATATTTGTTTAGAAAAACAGGTAGTTTTTATGTATATATAAATTGACGAAATAAATTCTTACAGAATTAGTTTGTATTCCTATCCACAGGTACAAGAAACCAGAAGAGCGGAGTCCATTGGTAGCAGCAATGCAGCATTTCTTACCAGTTCTAAAGGATCGCTTTATCCAGCTTCTTTCTGATCAATCTGATCAATCTGTCCTCATCCAGAAACAGATATTCAAGATCTTCTATGCTCTTGTTCAGGTAATTTGTATAAAGTAGATTTTATATATAAAGTCAGTCTATACTTACCACATTAAAAATTAAAGAATTTTGGGCTGGGCCTGTAACTCAGTCACTCAAGGTGCTTGCTTGATGTGTGTGAGGCACTGGGTTCAATCCTTAGCACCACATAAAAATAAATAAAATAAAAAATAATTTTAAAAAATTTTGAAGAATATGAGTATATAAATAATGATTCAATGGATGATTTGCTAGTAAGATAATATTTGCCAGAATTAAAAGGATATAGCCTAATTCGCAGCATACATAAACAATCTCAAGTTCTCTTAAAAGTGTTCAGCACTACAAAAGTAGTCTTTGTTTTTTTTTTTTTTTCAAGGTCATAAAGTCTTGCTCTGCTGTCTACATTGGTTTTGAACTCATGGGTTAAAGTCATCCTTTTTCCTTAGCCGTCTAAGTAGCTGGGAATATAGAGAGCACCACCATTCCCACTTAAAAGAATTTGAGTCCTGGCCTGGGGATGTGGCTCAGTAGTAGAGCGTTTGCCTAGCACACGTGAGGCACTGGGTTCGATCGTCAGCACCACATTAAAAATAAACAAACAAACAAATAAATAAATAGATGTATTGTGTTCACCTACAACTAAAAACTAAATATATTTTTAAAAAGAAGAAGAATAAAAATTTGAGTCCAACTTGGTGTGGATGCATGCCTGCAATCCCAGCACTCTGGATGCTGAGGTGGGAAGACCTTCAAGCCCAGGAGTTTGAGACCACCCTGGAGAACATAGCAAGACTCCATCTTAAAAACAACAACAAAAATAATTCATGAGTCTAAAACATATGACTTGATTACAGTTTAAAAATATCTTTTGTATAATATTGTTCTTAATCTTCCTTGAATACAAAATAACCCACTATGGTATTGGTTGAATTTGTATTGTCAGTGGAATATAATTACTTTTAAAATAGATTCTTAAAATTCAAGTTCTGCTTTTTTGTGTCATGTTGTTGCATCTTATCAGGATCTTTTGGTTCAAGTCATACCATTATTAAAAATCTTAAGACTTGTGATTACACCTCTCCTAAGATGTAGTTGATTTTTGTTTTGTGTTTTTGTGGTACTGTGGGATTGAACTACATCCCAGTTCTTTTTATTTCTTATTTTTGAGATAGGGTCTTTCTGAGTCTCAGGGGCTGGCCTCAAACTTGTGATCCTCCTGTTTCTGCTTCCTGAATAGCTGGGATTATGGGCATATACCACCACACTTGGCTTTCTAGGTCTTTAAAGATATTCTAATCATCTCCCAGTCTGGATCTTCCTTACATAATTCTTCAGTTAAATGCCACTTGAATGGAAGATAGCTGTAGACTTTTCATATTTTCCTAGCTGGTATGATCACAATTTTAGATTAAAATAATCCTTGAAAATTATCAGAGCATAGGACAAAATAAGTATGTTATCCTCCCAACTCATTCTCTTAGCCTAGCACATCCTTATATCAAAATCACTTGTGAAAATAGATKGCTTAAAATCCTAAATAGGATATTTATTTTATCAGCCAACTGAAAGGATGTATACCAGGGATGGAAGAATGAATGAGCAATAAGAAATTAATTTTTGCGATTACCTCATTAAGAGAGAGACCTGTAATTATCTTTGGGGATCCCAGAGAAAAGCACTTGATAAAATTAAATAACAATTCCTGCTTTAAAAAAAACAAACAAAAAACTGTTTGAATTATAAAATAGAAATTTCCGTAACTTGATAMAAGGTATTTACTAGAAATTTACAGTAAATATCATACTTATATATGAATATAAGATTTAATCCCAGGAAGTTGGAACAAGACAAGGATGTCCATGGTCACTGCCAGTGTTTTCCATTATAGATAAATAATCAAAGAAATTTACTTACGTACTAATAGGAATACGTTGATTGAATGAAATACTCTTACAAGCAGGGTATGGTGGCCCATGCCTGTAATCTCAGCAGCTCAGGCGGCTGMGGCAGGAGGATCATGAGTTCATAGCCAATCTCAGCAACAGTGAGGTGCTAAGCAACTCATTGAGATCCTGACTATAAATAAAATACAAAAAAGGATTGGGGATGTGACTCAGTGGTTGAGTGCCACTGAGTTCAATCCCTGGTAGCCCCCCTTCCGTTAAACAAAGAAATACTTTTACATGGTATTGTGTGAAGAGTAAATGGAAGTGRAATGGTAGAATTTTCTTTAGTAAGATTTAAAAATATTAATTCCTGATTTTTATTTAGTATACACTGCCACTTGAGCTGATAAACCAACAGAACCTGACAGAATGGATAGAAATTTTGAAGACCGTTGTGAACAGGGATGTTCCTAATGTAAGTTTCTATGTGTTATTATATTACAAAACATAAATATTTAATAATCTCTTGGATTTTCACTGATAGTTCCTATAACATTCTTTATGTACTTCTGTAATTCATGATGCAGTTTTTTCTAGATACATGGATTTCTTTTGTTTATATGTATACTAAGTAAGTTGTGAAAGGTTATTTCATATATTATTGGTTAAGTGCTTGCGTGTATTTGCTTATTTCATCCTAATTTTTCTGTTTCTTAATTTCTCTGTTGTTTATGGTACTGGGGTTTGAACATTCTTGGCAAACAGTTTATCACTGAGCTATATCCCAGCCCAACTTCTCACTTCTTAACTAGATGAATTTAGGGTTAGCTGGGTGTGGTGATGCAAGCCTATAATCACAGTGACTTGGGAGGCTGAGACRGTAGTATGACAAGTTTGAGGCCAGCCTCAACAATTTAGTTGACATCCTATTTTAAAATAAAGAATTTTTAAAAGAGATAGAGGTATAGTTTAGTACTGCGTTCCACCCGTYCCCTCATCTTTATGGCTGGATTTTAGCCCAGTAATTTGTCAAACATCTGTGGACAGAGGGAAAACCTGATTCACAAGTTGGCAAGACATTGTACTTACATTATTTTTAAAAACTTATAATTTATGACATAAAATATATCCATTTACCATGTATAACATAGTGGGTTTTGGTACAGAGTTGTTACATTTTACATTTTATGATAAGTTTTAAAATTACCATAATATTTTTATATAATCTAATTTTTATTTTCCACATTTTTTTTTAAAGAGAGAGTGAGAGAGAGATAATTTTTTAATATTTATTTTTTTAGTTTTCGGTGGACACAACATCTTTGTTTATATGTGGTGCTGAGGATTGAACCCGGGCCGCATGCATGCCAGGCGAGCGCGCTACCGCTTGAGCCACATCCCCAGCCCTATTTTCCACATTTTTTATTGGTGTATTATAGCTACACATAGTGGTGGGATTTGTTGCCACATATTCATACATGTATATAATGTAACAATATGATTTGGCCAGTTTCACTCAACTGTATAATCTAGTGTCATAGAAAGTAAATACAACTTGTAAATACAAGTTCCTCCTGAACAATTAGTATGTTTTAGGTTCTATTATATAATTTGCTTATTTGGTCCTCAAAATAATCCTTCTGGCTTTTATATTAAACTTAAGTATGGGACAATCATGTAACTTCTTAGTCAGTGGAATGTTTAATAATTGCCTAAAGAAGACTAGGTTCTTATTTTGCAGTTTACTTATTTTTTACCCTGTACTGGGATTGAACCCAGGGTCACAGCCATGCTAAGCAGACACTTTTCCACTGAGCTATATTCCCAGTCCTTATTTAAATTTTTATATGTGTGTGTGGTAGTCCCCCCACTCCTCCCAGTACTGGGCTTTGAACCCAGAGGCACTCCACTACTGAGCTACATATGTTTTTTTTTTTTTTTTTCATTTTGAGATAGAGTTTCACTGAGTTCTTAAGGCCTCAGTAAGTTGCTGAGGCTAGCCTTGAACTTGCAGTCATTCCTGCATTAGCCTCTTAAGTTGCTGGGATTAGAGGCTTCTGCTATTATATTCATCTAGATTTGTTTTTTAAAGATTTGAATCCGTGCAGAAGACAAAATRTTTTCCCCCTCCATAGGAAATCAGGTTGGTGTGTATTTTTAATTGGTACAAAATATAACTAAAATGTCTTATATATTTTACACCTTTTTGTGGTATAATTTATATTCAGTAACATTCACTAGATKATAAGTAAATAATTTTAAGTGGATTATTTCAGTTTTATGATAAGTATAACAGTCACCCCAGAATGTTTGTTCATGGCTGGTTCTTATCATCTATTATTGATTTTTGCCTTGTATATTTCTCTTCTCTTTTTATTTTTTTAGAAGTAATTGAATACAATACTTTTATTTTATTTATTTTTATTTGGTGCTGAGGATCGACCCCAGGGCCTTTCACGTGCTAGACGAGCGCTCTACCGCTGAGCCACAACCCCATCTTCTGTCTTGTATATTTCTTTTTTAAAAAATATTTATTTATTTTTAGTTTTAGGTGGATACAACATCTTTATTTTACATTTATGTGGTGCTGAGGATCGAACCTAGTGCCTCATGCATGGTAGGCGAGTGCTCTACCACTGTGCCACAGCCCACAGCCCTAAAATATTTATTTTTTTAGTTTTAGGTGGACACAATATCTTTGTTTTTATGTGGTGCTGAGGATTGAACCTAGTGCCTCATGCATGGTAGGCAAGCGTTCTACCATTGAGCCACAACCCCAGCCCTGTATATTTCTTGATATACAAGTAATCTTATGTTTCTTCTTTTGCTTAATATATTAATGAGATTCATTCATATTGTAAAGGATGTTTATTTGCTGTAAAATATTATCCCTTTATGTAGATATACCTCAATTTATGATATGTTCTCATGTTGATATATAATCAGGATGGTTTTCACATATAAGTATTTTAGATAGAACCAAAATGAACATGTTTGAGACTTTTTTACTAATTTCCAAAATGACTTTCAAAGTGGTTGTAGCATTGTACTCTATGACAGCTTATATGACAGCTTCTTCTGTTCTTAATTCTTATTTTTCTATTAGATCAGTGTAACAGCTCATTATTTGAATGGTTGAATAGTAGTCTTATGAAAGTGATGTGATTAAACATTACCTTATTAGTAAATATTTAGGTTCTTTACACTTTTTTGCTATTATGAATAGTATTGTGAATATTCTCATACATAAAACATTGTTTATCTATACTGATATCCAAAACTAGATTTTGGAAATGGAGTCTCTTATGTCCTTCCCATTATGAACTATTCTGATTTTTTTTTTTTTTTTTTTTTTGCGGGGCAGGGAAGGGGAGGGTACTGGGGATTGAACTCAGGGTCATTTGACCACTGAGCCACATCCCAACCCCCGTTGGTATTTTATTTAGAGACAGGGTCTCACTGAATTGCTTAGCGCCTCACTTTTTACTGAGGCTGGCTTTAAACTTGCAATCTTCCTGCCTCAGCCTCCAGAGCAGCTGCAATTCCAGGTGTGCACTACTGAGCCCTGCTGTTCTGGTTTTGATTAAGATACTATTGTCTGGGCTGGGGTTGTAGCTTAGTGGTAGAGCACTTGCCTAGCATGTTCAAGGCACTGGGTTTGATTCTCAACACCACATATAAGTAAATAAAATAAGTCCATTGACAACTAAARCAAATTTTTTAAAAAGGTACTATTTTCATTGGCTTGACTTTATATGATTAAGATCATGGCTAAAATTGTTGATTTTAATTGTCTATAAGAGTTTTTAAAAGCCTTTAGATTAAAATAGGGGTCAGTGCTTTCTCAAGTCTGATCTATTGCAAAAGGCCAGCATTAGAAGCACATGCACAAGCTTTTCCTTGTAGATAGTATTATCTTTTATTAACATTAAATAAATGTTTCTTTAAAGGAAACTCTTCAAGTTGAAGAAGATGATAGACCTGAGTTACCGTGGTGGAAATGTAAGAAGTGGGCTTTACATATTTTAGCAAGACTTTTTGAAAGGTAAGCTTTTCTCTGATTCGGTGATTTCAATTTATTTTTTAAAGCTTTTGTTTTTATAAGTGCAGATTTAAAGGATTATAAAGAAATAATGGGCATGTTAATGTTTTGTTAGATATGGAAGTCCTGGCAATGTTTCCAAGGAATATAATGAATTTGCCGAAGTATTTCTGAAAGCATTTGCTGTTGGTGTCCAACAAGTAAGTCTCAGATAAGTTTTCCTAAGTAGAAATATTTTACTTTAAAGTTAATTTCTGTCTTGCTTATTTCTAGTTTTCTTTCCATCTGAAGACTGCATGTTTGAACCCTATAGCAATTCTCAAACATTTTTTGGTCTGAGGACTTCTTTCTGATCTTTAAAACATTACTCAGGAGTGTTCATTTACAAGGTTATACTTACTGATACCTATCATTATAATTGAAAACAAAATTGAATAGATAAGTGGGGCATGATGGCATACACCTATGGTTCCTGTGACTTGGAAAGAAAAGGCAAAAAGATCACTTGAGCCCAGAAATTCAAGACCAGTCTGGGCAAGATCCAACAACATCCATTATTACATTTTAATATAAAAAATTTGTCTTCAGTAAAAAATAGCTGTTTTCCAAAATGAAAATGTTTTAGAAAGAGGACTTATTGTTTCTTACACATTTTTTTCATAAAATCTTTAATAGAAAGGACCTAGATATTTACCTGCTTCTGTATTCAGTCTGTGTTAATTCACTATGGTTGACATTAGAAACAAAATATTGGCCTCACAGGTATGAAGTTGAAAATGGAAGTGTAATAGACTTCAGATAATTATGGAAATTCTTTAAAATCTCACCAAAATTCTACTACACATTTCTTCCAAGTTCATTGCAATATGGAGTTTCTAAAGTGGCTGGGTGTGGTGGTACACTTATATAATCTCAGGCTGAGAGAAGGATCACARGATCAGAGCTAGACTCAGTAATTTAGCGAGGCAACTTAGTGAGACCCTGTCTCAGTACTTAGACAGGTCTGGGAACTCAGTGGTAAAGCACCCTGAGTTTAATCCTCAGGACCCAAAACAATAATAACAAAAACTTTTTAACAGTGAATATTTTCCATTAAAATATTTTGGTGTATATTGCAGTCTGAGTCTCTTATTTACACTCGATTTTATAACATCTTGGACTTGGCATTTGGAAAGTGTTTATTCATTGAGTTAGTGCAGGCTTTGCATATGTCATCACCTCACTGTACAATTTCAAAAGAAACCATGCTTGTTAATATCACCACTAGTCTTAGCATACATATCCTTTCTGTTGGAAAGCTCTCAAGCTAATGGTGGTGAATCCAGGATGCCTAGAATTCTAATTTTTGCTTGAAAACTGAAATTTAAACAGTAACATGTTGTCAGTTATTTTCTTTCAAGTGACAGGATTATTTTGTTTGTTTTAGAGAAAATTCTGCCATATGCACAAGTCTAATAACCCTAATTTGTTTTTTAGTTCTTTCTATCATAAAATTGTCTTTCATGCAATGAGTAATTATTTTAGTTTGCCTTTCAGTCTCAAATAGCTTTTCTTCCTACCTTTGTACTTTGTAATATGGCAGGTGACCTCTATGTGTACTTTCTCATTTAWTAATTTAGTAATTATAATTTTTTCTGGTTCATCAGAGACATTCTTAAGGAAAACTTGTTCTACATGTATGTGGTTTAGTGTTACTTCCTTGATTCTTTTAGGTATCAAGGAACTTTAGTTGATTGATGCAAATGTCAGCCCAGTTTAAAAAGAAGGGCATATAACATTTTGGCATTATTATGAAATAGCTTTAATCTGTTGGGTCCTCTGATGAGAATCTTCTTAGGATTCACAGAAGTCTGAATCATAATGAAAATTGATGTTGTGAAATATCAATTAGAGTTAGAACTCTTGACCACAGTTAAATAGGTGAGTAGTTTGGTAGGTTTTCCTAGAAGATGCTCAATAAGACAGGACTATCCCAGAATATTGTGGTAATTCAATAGGCAGCATATGTTTTTCATTGTATACTGAATCAGAAACTAGGCCTTTGATATATTTTTACTTAAATTTGTTTATGAAATAAATGCCTTGGGAGTAAATGTGTTTCTTCACATAATTTCAAAAATTACTACTTATTAAATGAATTTGGTTGTTAGTTTTAATGATGATCTGGACATTAAGGTAAATGTCATATTGGGCTGGAGATGTTSCTTAGTGCTAGAACACTTGTCTAGTATGTGTGAGGCCCGTGGTTCAATCCCTAGAAATGCAAARGTAAAGAAATAATGTCAGATTTTTTATTTCATAAGTGGTTAATTTTTATTTGAACTTCAGTTTTTGATGGAACTTTTTTCCCCCCCAAAGGTTTTATTGAAGGTGTTATATCAGTACAAGGAGAAGCAATACATGGCTCCTCGAGTTTTACAACAGACATTAAATTATATAAACCAAGGAGTTTCCCATGCCCTTACCTGGAAGAACCTGAAGCCTCATATACAAGTAATATTTTTGTACCTGCAATGCTTTTCGTAATATAATAGAAGTAACATTAATTTTCACAAAGTTTGAAAATTTGTGTTTAGTTTTTTTTCCTATTGTAGTTCTGTTGATTATTTTGATTGTATACTAGTGAAAGGAGAGATTGTTTTCCAGGATAATTGGCTGACCTACTATAAGTAATTTATTTGTTTATTTGTTTTTACAGCTACAGGATTTCAGAGACTTAAAATGTTAAATTGAATTCCTTCAGAATACTTAATGTGTACCTATATATGCATGTCTTATTTTATAATCACTTCTTACAGAAAAGGTAAAAACTTTTAGTTGATCTGGAAGTGCATTAGTAAAGTTTGGATTAAACTTTAAAACACACCAAGTGTTGTGGTTCATGCGTGTAATTTCAGGAAGGCAAAGGTAGAAGGATCCTAACTTTAAGGGCAGTCTTGGCAATTAGTAAAATCCTATCTCAAAATCAGGAAAGGACTGGGGATATGGCTCAGTGGTAAAGCACTCCTGGGTTCAATCCCCAGTACAAGAAAATAAAATTCGTGTCATATTTGGCACACACTCATAATCCCATCCTGTCTGAAGTTTGAGACGGGAGGATTGTAAGTCAGGAGGATTGTGAGTTTGAGGCCAGCCTCAGCAAATAAGTGAGACCCTAAGCAATTTAGCAAGACCCTGTCTCAAAACAAAAAATTGAAAAGCATTGGGGATGTGAGTCAGTGGTTAAGTGCCCCTGGGTTCAGTCCCTGGTACCAAAATAAACAAACACACACACATACACACACACACACACACACACACACACACACACACACACACACACAGAGTTATTTATTTCTTTTAGTACTTAAGGGAGATTTGTCAGTTGAAATTTGAAAGCTGAAGGCTATTACTTTTCTTAATTTTTAATTTGCAGGGCATTATCCAAGATGTTATTTTTCCATTGATGTGCTATACAGATGCTGATGAGGAACTTTGGCAAGAAGACCCTTATGAATATATACGCATGAAATTTGGTGAGGAATTTTAATTTTTAGAAACAATGTGTCRATAGTAAAAGTTAAAGTGATTGTCTGTAGCAAACCTAAGTGATGTTATAGCCCCATCTTTGGTTCTTTCAAACAACAGTTTATCCCTTCTTAAGGTGATTCATTAATTATAACATTATGATAATTTTTATTTTTAGGAGACATAAATTGTAGGTGTTAAATTATTTAGTTATGAGGATTGCATGTGCTTCTGACACAAGCCAAAACTGTTAGATAGTCAAGATTACTCCTTAACACTAAGTGTCTAACCTGTGCTTTTGGATCCAATGTCAGTCATAATATGTGAGGGAATTAAAAAGATGCATACTGAAACCTGGAGTAACATGTACTTCCTGCATAAAACTAAAGAATTATAATTTGGCTAATGTTGAGTTTTTGTCCTTTTTCCTACCAGAATACTCTGTACTTTTGCCAACCCTATTTTGAACATTCCCGTAGTGTTTTGTGTAAAAGAATTTTTTAGGAGAATTAGATGTGTTACCATTTAATTTGTATAAAAAGATTAAGATTAATTTTCTTATTTACTTTATATCAGATATAGRAAATTTTAAATGCCCTTTTTACACAGCATAACCTATAAATTACTTATTATTAAATTTAAAAAGAAATTTTTTTAGTTGTCAATGGACATTTATTTATTTAATGTGGTACTGAGATTTGAACCTAGTGCTTAACACATTCTAGGCAAGCGCTCTACCACTAAGGTACAACCCCATCCCTGAAAATGTTTYCTGATGAAATTAAAATTATTGTTTTCTATTGTAATTTTAAATTTGTTTTCCAGATGTATTTGAAGATTTCATTTCTCCTACCACTGCTGCCCAAACACTTTTGTTTACAGCCTGTAGTAAGAGGAAAGAAGTAAGTCATTTAATTTGCAGATAACTTTTGTTACAGTACCTAATATCTGTTCAGGTATACTCAGTTACAAATGCCAGACATGTTAATCATTTGTTAAGTGTATTTTTAAGGAGCATTGGAGTAAAGTATTACTTATCTCTCAATCTAGGTACTACAGAAGACTATGGGATTTTGTTACCAAATTCTTACAGAACCAAATGCTGATCCTCGAAAAAAAGATGGAGCCTTACATATGATTGGCTCTTTAGCTGAAATACTTCTGAAGGTATTTTCTTTTTTTTGAATGTGTGTCTTATATAGGTCGTTCATTTAAATTAACACGTTTATTGAGGTACAGTAAACATATGATGCAGTTTGCCCATTTAAAGTATACAGTTCAGTGGTTTTTAGTTATATTCARAGAATTATACATTCATTACCCCTGGATAATTTCAAACATTTTCATCAATCCCAAAAGAAACCATGTGGACCTTAGCAGTCTTTCCCCATTTCATCCCAAACCTCCTAGCCCTATGCTGCTCTTTGTGTACAATTGTGTCTGGATTTGTTCTGGATATTTCATATAAATGGAGGTGTAATGTATGGCCTTTGGAGTGTTTTATTTCATTTTGTATATATGCAGGGTTCATAATGTAGCATTTGTCAGTTCTTTTTGTTGGTACATTTTGTTGAAATTTTGCATTTCATTTGTTCATTCATCAGTTGGTGAACATTTGCTTTGTTTCCACTTTTGAATATTATGAAAAGTGCTATGAATATTTGTGGACAATTTTCTATGGGGATACAGGTTTTCATTTCTTTGGGGTATGTACCTAGGAGTTTAAATTGGTGGTCATAGTTGAGAAACCACAGGATTCTTTTCCAAAGTGGGTATAGCATTTTATGTTTCTACCAGCACTGTATGAAGGTTTTCATTTTTCTAYATTCTTACCAGTACTTATATTCTTTTTTATTATGCCATTTTAGTTAATGGGAAATGACATCTCATCATGGTTTTGATTTCCATGTTCCTGACGGCTAATAGTATGAGAATCTTTTTTTTTCTTTTTTAAACAGAGAATTTTTTAATTTTAATTTTATTTGTCAGTTTTTGGTGGACACAACATCTTTATTTTATTTTATGTGGTGCTGAGGATCAAACCCAGCGGCCTGCACATGCCAGGTGAACACATTACTGCTTGAGCCATATCCCCAGCCCAGTATGAGAATCTTTATTGGCCATTTGTATATCTAGTCTGGAGAAATGTCTATTCAAATCATATTTCCCTCTTCCSTTTATTTATTTATTTATTTATTTTTATGTATCATGATTACATCTTTTTAAACACCTTTATTTTATTTATTTTTATATGGTGCTGAAGATCGAACCCAGGGCCTCACACGTGCTATGTAGTGCTCTATCACTGAGCCTCAGCCCCAACCCTCTCTCCCCCTTTTAATTGGATCATTTTTTTAAAAAATGTTTTTAGTTTTACATGAACACAGTACGTTTATTTTGTTTAGGGTTTTTGTGGGTTTTTTTTTTTTTTTAATGTGTTGAGGATTGAACCTAGTGCCTCATGCAAGTGCTCTACGATTGAGCCATAACCCTAGTCCAGGTCATTTGTTTTTTACCATTGATTGGTTAAAGATCTTAAATACTGGAYGCTTGCTTGCTTGCTTATTTATTTTTGCCTATGTAAATGCTCTATTAGCTTTCATGATCAACTGAGATACAAAAACAAAATTATGGTTTATAGATAGAGTTTAGATTTTGGTTTATTGGCTTAGAGTAGTTGCTTAGAGTAGATATTATCAATATAGATTCTATAAAAATATGCTCTTTTATAAACATGATTTGCAAATATTTTCTTCTGTTTCTTAGGTTATCTTTTCATTTCATGAATGGTGTCCTTTTTTTTTTTTTAAACAACCTTTGTGATGTGGAGGATTCAATCCATGGATACTCTACTCCTGATCTTACTTTTTTTTAATTTGGCCATCCTTTTTTTCTTTTTAATTTGAGACRGTCTTGCTCCGTTCCCAGGAWGGCCTGGAACTTGGGATCCTCCTTAGTCAACCTCTTGACAGCTGGATTTATATGTCTGGGCCACCACATCTATCTCCCTTCCTGATGTCCTTTAATGTTTCAATAGGAATTTGATACGATATCCAATTTATCTACATTTTCTGTCCTTGCTTGTGTTGAAGATATTTGTTTTCATATGAGGTTTTGTGCCCATATACCCACTAGCTACTGGCATACTGGGGTTTGAACCCAGGGATGCTTTTCTACTGGCTGTGTCCCAGCCCTTTCTATTTTCTTTGAGACTGGGTTTCACTCAGTTATCCAGGCTAGAACTTGCAGTCTTCTTGCCTCACCCTMCTGAATTGCTGGGATTACTGGTGTGGCAACTACATCAGGTTGAGTTTTGTTCTGTACATATTGCAGGATAGTTGTTAAAGAATGTTTTTCTTCTAAAATTTATGGATCTTTAGGACAATTTGCAAACATGAAACATCCATTTGCAGGCTAGGCACCTCATGATTTTGTCACAAATATTGTGGTAAATAGTAACAAATCAGATTAGTTTGTGTTTAGAAACCTGAATTCAATTATATACATGGTATATGACATCATAAACAAGATCTACATTTTGTTTTTCCTTTGAAGTTAGTAAATSTACTCCAGATGTATGTAAATATTGAGTAATTATACCTTCCCTACTACCGGGAACCTTGCTCCACTGAATTCATCACATTTTTTGTTTTATCTACTATGCCTTTATGGTTACATTTTATATTGGCATGGCACAATTAACTGGTGTGGCAACTACATCAGGTTGAGTTTTGTTCTGTACATATTGCAAGAAACAAATCCAAGAAATTAATATTGTTGTATTATAATTCACAGATATAATTTTATAAGTTTTCCCACTGAATCTTTAATGTTCATTTGATGTGTAGTTCAAGGAATTCTTCTAAAACCATTATTAACCATTTGGGAAATATTGAATTTTAGATTTATGAAAGTATCTTTCTTTTTTTGGTGGTGGTGCAGCTACTGAGGATTGAACTTAGGATGCTTTACCACTGAGATACATCCCCAGCCCTTTTTATTTTTTGAGACAGGGTCTTGCTAAGTTTCTTAGGCCTCAAAAAATTGCTGAGACTAGCCTTCAACTTGTGATCCTCCTGCCTTAGCCTCTTAAATTGCTGGGATTAAGGTGTGTGCCACCACTCTTTGCTCAGAAAAACAATATCTAATTTATTAGTTTGAGAGCAGGATATTTCTCTAACTATATATGTTCAGTTAGATACTATACAGAGAGGTTGTTCGTTAGAAAAGTTTCATGAGAAAAAAGTAAGAAGTAAAGTTAACTTTGTTGTCATTAAACAGCATTTTTATAAAAATTTGGTCTCATAGCTTGTTTGCCATTTTGTTTTTAAACCTWGGGTTGGGCAAGGTAGGCCCCAGTAATCATTGAAATTTTTATTTTTTGTGGTGCTAGGAATTGAATCCAGGACCCAGCACAGCACATGCTAGGAAAGTACTCTAACCACTGAACTACACTCCCAGACTTCTAATTACTTTCTAATGAGGTGATTTTAAACATATAAGAATGTATTGGGGCTTTGGTTTCAAGGGGTCAGAGGATTAAAGTAAATGTATTTTATGACATTAATAGTCAATGTTCTATCTACTTGGAAATTGAAATGATGGTATTTGGAACTATATCCAAATAATMATTTATATTTACAGAAAAAGATTTATAAGGACCAGATGGAATACATGTTGCAGAATCACGTATTCCCTCTCTTCAGCAGTGACCTAGGCTACATGAGAGCAAGGGTATGTTTCCAAGCTGTAATATTTTATATATGTATATTCTGTAATAAATGACTGTGGGTTTTTACACTTAAAAGTTTTGAATGTTTTACTTCAAAAGCTATGTTTCATGTAGGATGTCTGTTTAATGTAAATCTTAAATGGCTGCTATAATGTGTGCATGGTTTTCATCTGTGTCTGGTAGCAATGTCTGTCTGTGTTTTGCATTCAGATCTTGCTATCCACACAAATGTATTGTAGCCAAAGAGTAACTTGGGATCATAGTACTGGTCTAGTGTTGTCTCTTTGGACATATCTACCACTGGCCAGCCTCCAAATTCCCACACATTGAACTCTAAAAAGAGATTAGCTTGGGGGAATTTGGTGTATGATATTTATAGTCATTGTGCTTTTTTTTTTTTAAAGGCTTGCTGGGTACTTCATTATTTTTGTGAGGTGAAGTTCAAAAGTGATCAGAATCTCCAAACAGCCTTAGAGCTGACAAGAAGATGTCTGATTGATGATAGGGAAATGCCTGTAAAAGTGGAAGCCGCCATTGCACTTCAAGTGTTGATCAGCAATCAAGAAAAAGGTAAAGGATTTCCATGTGAAAAATACCGAATTTCTTTTTGCCTAATTGTACAATTCTTATTCTTAAGAAGTTAACACCTTTATTTTCTTCTTTCTTCTTTTGTGGTGCTCCCGATTGAACCCTGCACCATGCTGGGCAAGCACTCAAACACTGAGATATATCCCCAGTCATATCATACCTCCTTTTTATGTGAAAGTACTCTTTTTACATGTTGTGTCAGGTTTCTAAAAGATATAATTGTTTTACAAAAGAAGGGTTTTTTTTTTTTTTTTCTCTTACAGCTAAAGAATACATCACACCATTTATCAGACCTGTAATGCAGGCCCTTCTTCATATTATAAGAGAAACAGAAAATGATGACCTTACAAATGTAATTCAGAAAATGATCTGTGAATATAGTGAAGAAGTTACTCCTATTGCAGTAGAAATGACACAACATTTGGTATGTTTGGATTACYGTTTTTTGTAAGCATTTAAATTTAGCTCGCAGTAGGTTCCAGTTAATGTGTCACAAGTACCTTGACTTAGATTTGAAACAAATATTTTACGGAGCTTAATAGGTAGGATGTAGGGTTTTAAGCCCCTTGACAGCTATTTTAACTCATTTAATTTTCATACAGACCTGGGTAAAGATTATACTATTTTACAGATACAAAATATAACAGGTAAAAGTTTAAATAACTTGCCCACATTGGATATGGTAGGGCTTGGATTTATACGTAGGCCTTCACCGTACTCTTTGTTTTTTAATTTTTTTATGGTCTTGGGGATTGAACTTGGGATGTTCAACCACTGAATATCCAGTCATTTTTAATTAATTAATTAATTTGTAATTTTTCCTTTTGAGGCAGAACCTTGCTAAGTTGAACAGATTGGCCTTGATCCTCCTGCCTCAGCCTTCTRAGTAGCTAGGACTACCAGGCTTTCACCTTTGAGCACAGATTTAGCCAGTAATATTAATGAAAATATTCATAATATTGAGTACATTCTATAACTTGTCTCCTTTTTGAGAAAGTTGAGTAACTGGAGCTCGAACCTAGCTAGGGTGCTCTACCTCTGAGCTGCAYGCTCAACCCTTTTCTTTTACTTTGCTTTGTTTCATTTTTCAGTTCTGGGCATTGAACCTGGGGGCGTTTTACCATTGATCCATATCCCCAGCCCTTTTTATTTTTTATTTTGAAACAGGATCTTGATAAGTTGCTGAGGCTGTTCTCAAACTTTTGGTCCTCCTACATCAGTCTCTTACATTACTGGGATTATAAGCATGCGATACTGTGTGCCCAATTTTTATGTCATTTTTGAGACACGATCCTGTTAAATTGTCCAGGCTAGCCTTAAAACTTGAAATCCTCCTACCTCAACCTCCTGGGTCATTTGGATTACAATTGTGTATCACTGCACCTGGCCACTTGTTTCTTTTAATCTTCACAGTATTTCTGTGAACTTCCCAAATTGTCATGTCAAGAAAAGTCTAGGAAGGGAGTTCAAGTAAGCTTGTTTCAGGTCAACCTATGAGTGATGGAGCAAGACCATTTGATTATAGAACCTACACTGTTAATTATTCATTAATTGGGAGGCATTGATTTCTTCTGCATTTCCAGTGAGAACATTTTAAAGATAAAAGTGTTACAGGCAGGGAAGGGTGGGATTGGAGGGGGAAAAAAAYACCTGCAAACTAAAATAGTGTTAAGACTACCTTATAGTGTTTAATTGACAAACCTAAGTTGCATTCTTTTGGGTCTAGGCAATGACGTTTAACCAAGTAATCCAGACTGGTCCAGATGAAGAAGGAAGTGATGACAAGGCAGTTACCGCCATGGGAATTCTCAATACCATCGATACACTTCTTAGTGTAGTTGAAGATCATAAAGAGGTAAGAAATGATTTATTCTGGAATAGGTTTTATGCACTGTCATTTTACACTGAATGTGCTATAATTTTTTGGAGGGCATGACCTGAGATGACTCTATAATCATCCCATCTACTTTGACTTTGCATTTTTAGTAAAAAAAAAAGTTTTGGTAAAATATATATAACATAAAATTTGCCATCTTAGGCATTTGTAAGTGTACAGTTTACTGATATTGAGTGCTTCAAATTGTTTTGCAAGCATCACCACAGTCTTTCTACTTATCTTTTTAAAATATATTTTTATTTATTTATAGTTGTAGATAGACACGATACCTTTATTGTATTTTTATGTGGTGCTGAGGATTGAGCCAAGTACCTCATAGATTYGAGGCAAACACTCTGCCACTGAGCCATGATCCCAGCCCTTCTTACCTATCTTTTTTTTTTTTTTTTCGGTTGTCTTTTAGAAAATTAAGGGAACTATAATCATGGATTTTTAAAAATTGAATTATCTCAAACATCCAGAAAAWGATAAACCATAGAGAAAACTATAGCTGATACTACCTAATCACTACCAAATATTATTGCATTTAATCACTTTTATATTACGTTTAGATTTTACTCTCAGGAAAAACAATTTCAGATGATTTGGGGTTTTGTTGTTGTTTATTTTTTTGTGGTGAGGAGTGTTGCATGCATGAGGAGTGTTGTATATATGTAAGGCATTTTGTCTGCTAGTGTGCTTACATACAGCCCCAGCAATTTCAGTTAGATGTAGTTGAATCCCTCAGGGGATTGCTTCCTAATCTCCTTTCCCTCCTTCTGTCCTTCCTCTAAAATTAATCACTGTCATGAATTTGGAGGAATAAATTTTGGTGTAGATGTTTCTATAGGTTATCTTATCCATAGCTGTGTGTTTTTAGATCTCTGCCTTTTGAAGCTTGAGATTTCCAATAAACCATTGTTGTATTCCCTATTAAAATAGAATATAGGCAGAAGACATCAGAAATCTTATAGCTGCTTTAACAAGTAGATTATTTTGAGGAATTGAAGATGTATTGCGTAATATGTATTTGAAATGGCTATTTTGCTTCTTTTTTGGGGGTTCAGGTACTGGGATTGAACTCAGGGGCACTGGACCACTGAGCCACATCCCCATCCCTATTTTATAGTTTATTTAGAGACAGGCCGTTTCTTAGTTGCTTAGCAACTCATTTTACTAAGGCTGGCTTTCAGCTTATGATCCTTTTATCTCATTCTCCCGAGCTCCTGGGATCACAGGCACGTTGCATCGCACCCTGCTCTTATTATAATTTTGAGATGTGGTCTTGCTAAATTAGTGAGGCTGGTCTAGAGCTTGGGATCCTTCTCCCTCAACTCTTTGAGTCTGTGAATGCAGGCATGTACCACCATGCTCAGTTTATCTCCTTCTATACCTGATGAGTAGGAAAATATTTAATCTCCAGAATGTTCTTTTAACATTCTGATGGCTGTCAAAGATTTGTGGTTCTATTGAAGGCCATACTGAAAATTAATGAGGAGTCAGTTATTTTCTATTAATTGTGATTGTGACGGGGAGCCCGAGTTCATCTCCTTGGTTCACTGATATAATTTGAAAAACAGCAGTGACTTCAAAATTATTGAGATTGGTAGCAACAATGACTTCCTTTAGATTATTTCTCTTGTAAGTGTGACTTTTCAGTTACCTCTGGACTGAAGGAGTCAGTGCTTAACACACAAAAAAGTACCTCTATGTGCCAGGAGCAGTGACACTTGCCTGAGGGTTGCAAATTCAAAGCCAGCTTSGGCAAATTAGTGAGACCCTATGCAACTTAGTGAGACCCTGTCTCAAAATAAAAAATAAAAAGGTCTGGGGATGTGACTCAGTGGTTAAGCACACCTGGGTTCAATCCCCAGGACCAAAAAAATCAAAACCTATAGGTTCTCTTCAGAGTAGTTATATTGCATATCCCAATATGCAAATTATTACCTTTCAGTTTTTAGTAGATGAATCAAGTTATTTGTGTTTTTTCATTATTTGTGTTTTATCATTTTTCAATGATATTTCATCAAATTTCAATCTCAGATTGGTGTATAGTTTCATAATATGCATGTGAATTCATAACAACATGATTTAACAATGTGCTTTCATATAGAAATGTAGGGGTTATTGTATATTATCTTAATAATTTATTAAATGTGCTGCAATTCCATATGATTTTTTTGTCCCCCTTCTTTTTTAGATAACCCAGCAACTTGAAGGGATCTGCTTACAGGTCATTGGTACTGTTTTACAGCAGCATGTCTTAGGTATCRTTACACATATTGTGCTAAGAATTTAGTGCCATTCACATTGGTAAACATTTTCCTAATGACTTAGTATTCTCTTTTAGAATTCTATGAAGAAATCTTCTCTTTGGCTCATAGTTTGACATGTCAACAAGTATCTCCACAGATGTGGCAGCTACTGCCCCTTGTATTTGAGGTCTTTCAGCAAGATGGCTTTGATTACTTTACAGGTAAGTCTAATTAGCATGAAAATACTGAAAGTTTCACCTTTCCCCCGTGTTGATTGATTCATTTATAGCTTATCATTTGGTTATATACTTTTAAATGCTCCAACTTCTTCATTGGTTGGGTAAGTTATCATTAGTAGTTAATGCTCAAGGACAACACATAGTATTGATTTCTGTTTTATATTTTGACTTAGTTATTTTAGGTTTGCTCTTTTAGTGCCCCCATAGCTATTTTATGTATGATTATTTGTGTGTTTGTTTTACTACTAAATATGAAGGAATACAATTAAGAAATAGGTTCCTTTCTGCATTAAAAATTGAATACATCTTTACTAAAATTGACAGAAAATGGGCATCATGATGTTTACTTGTATTCCCAGTGTCTCAGAAAGCTGAGTAAGGAAGATAGTAAGTTTGAGGCCAGCCTTGTCAAATTTTAGATCACCCTGGACCAAGTTGGGAGACCTTGACTCAAAATACAGAGGGCTTGGGATGTAGCTTAGTGGTAAAAACTCCTTTAAGTTAAATCCCCCATACTAGGAGTTTWAAAAAAAAAAATAGAGATCATCTGATTTCACAGATTTGCCCTTTTTTAAGGAAAATTTTCAGAAGCAAAGATAAAGTATTTTATTGGTAAACATGTATAACTGATGCTTTTTATTAATACAGACATGATGCCTCTTCTGCATAATTATGTAACAGTTGATACAGACACACTTCTATCTGATACCAAGTATCTTGAGATGATATACAGTATGTGCAAAAAGGTAGGTCATTTTAAGGTAATATTAGATCTTACAARTTTGCTGCTATACAATTATGAGGATACATTTGATATCACATTATGAAAAACATGGTGAGCTCGTGGGTCTGATAAAATCAAAGGGTTTAAAAGCTATGAACACTCAGACATGGTGATGCACACCTATAATCACAGCAGCTTGGGAGGCTGAAACCAGAGGATTATATATTTAAGGCTAGATTCAGCTAGTAAGTGTGGGAGACCAACCTTACACATGACTGATTCACACTCCCCTCACCAGCTAGGTGCTGAGGCATTCAGTCACCCCACCCTTCTTGGGTGCAAGGGTCGGTGTCTCCTGCATGGGGTGTGTCTTACTACAGCCCCTTGGGTGGACCTACACTCACCTATTCCTTTGTAATATAATCCCTTGCTCTGATTAGGATAGAATCTTCCATGGAAGTGCCTTATGTGGGTCACCTTCTCTTACTGTGCCCTTGGGTGTGGCCTACCCAGGTGTCAGTCAACCTGCTGACAGTGAACATCATGAAGATGGACTCAGCCCTCTGAAACCTGACCCCTTGCCTCATTTAAATAACTTTCCTCAATAAAAAGGGTCAGCACGTSCTCTCCCTCTCTCTCTTTCTGCGGACCCTTAAGGTCAGAGGAGCCATCACAGCGACCCCRAACAAAAAGATATTTGTGTCTCTTGWGTGGTTATTTTGCTCAGCCCAGTTTTACTGGAGTGACCCCTGAGCCTTTTAGTSGAGAGAACAGAAACCTGGCAAGAAAGGCTCTAAACCAAGTTGTGAGACACTGTCTTTAAATAAAAAAGAACAAGGCCTGGAGGTATGTAGCTCACAAGTAAAGCATCCCTCAGTTAAATCCCCAGTACACCCCACTCCCTGAAAAAAGTTCAAAAAAACTTTTGTTTTCTAGATTACCTAGTAATGACTTTAGCATGCACATGTCTTCTGTATGGCTTCTGACATTTACTTACTTAGAGTTACAAATGTTTTGATTTTTAGAGTGTCTGGAGTTTACTTTAACTTAGTTCTGTGGAAACTAAAGAAGGAAAGAATCAATAGCTTGAG